TCACGGAATATATGTACGTATATATAAAAAAAGATAAAGAAAAAATCATAACACGGCGAGGAAAATTAAAATTCGTTGAATCGTTAGTAAACTTTACAAACGATTTTTTTGTTTTTAAACAATATTCAATAATTTAATAAAATATATTTAGTTTATTCCAATTTATTTATACCGTCAGTAGGTAATTCGTGAATAGATATTTCAAAGAGGTATCAATTTTAAAAATCGTTGTGAAAATTTGTATTTTTGTATAAATGGATTGTTCCTTGAAATTCAGAAGTGCCAGGAAAACGCGTGTCCTTGAAAATTTTAAAATTTTTCGCCTGCGGCGCCATTTAAAGGCTCTCCGGACACTCAATATCCCGGAATTCAATTCAACAAATATAACAATCCTAAACAGAACACATTCAATCAATGTTCACGCGCCGCCACTGATCGAAGGCCATTGCGACGTCCAGAGGCTCTTTCGTTTTGGAAAAAATGGTACCTAATAGCAACTAATATCAGTTCAGAGTAATTCTAAGTTGCTATTAGCTGCTGATAGCTACTATTCTTGCCAAATCGAAAGAGCCTCAGGAAGACAGCACCAGTGTACTGTCCCCTGTTGAAGGCCGCCGTGATGTGCTCGGTAAGGCGAAGGATTTGGAGTTCAGTGGAGTGATTGGGTCGGAAGGCGAACTGCTCGNAATAAAGCCTTGTATTATAGGAGGATTATACTTTTTATTTAATTTTCGGTTAGTTAAGGTTTATTACGATTAAGTGATTTTTTCTGTATTAAATAAGCTGTTTTACCAGCTAAATTATAGTTTTTAGAATATTAATATGTTTTGGGGATTTTTTTTAGTTTGTTTTCCTATTGAAATAAGCCAATATTTTTAATTATAGAATTTTTTCCTATGAAAAAAATTATTTGCCTTATTGCAGTTAAAGATTAATGCTTTAAATACGATTTTTATTAGAAATATACTTTTAGAATGGACTGTGTATTAAAACTGAAAAACCATCTGAAATGATGAAATTTAAAGCAACTTACCCTTCGTATGTCTTGTTTTTGGTTTCCATGTCTCTGTCGTCCTGTAGCCAAAATGCATGCCCTTGCAACGCTCCTCTCTCTCTCCCTGTGTCTTTCCGCTGTCTATAAAAATAATAATATAAAAATTAATTCTTTAGATTTTTAGCCACCATCTTGTT